ATTGTAACAAAAAAGTCCAACCATTGCAAAGGAAGAGCCCAGAGGTAAACCCACAAAAGTATGAACCTGATTTAATCTTTGACAAAGGAGCCATAATCATAAAATGGGAGAAAATTTCTAACAAATGGTGTTAGGAAAACATGGGGAAACTCATGCAAAAAAAAACAAAAACAAAAACCAAGCTAGATACTTAACGCCATACACAAAAATTAAATTCAAGATGGATTAGAAGTTGGATTTATGGCACAGTGGGTTGGATGGAGCCCAGGACTGTGAAGATGGCGGCAGCCACTTCAGTGTGAGTTCAATCCCCGGCCCCAGAGCTGAGCCACCCACTGGCTCCCCTCAGCAGTATACTTCGTCAATCTGCCTGTTCTGCTCCCCACTGTCTCTGGTGAATTATCTCACTGCCTCTGCACCTCTGGCATGAATAAAATCTATATGCATGAATAAAATCTTTACTAAAAAAGTTGGGTATAGTACCTGAAATGATGATATACTTAAAATATAGCTGACACATCTCTGCTGTTGGAAGTTATTTGGGGCAACACCTACAGCAAGAGAAACAAATGCAAATTAACTGGAATTACATTAGACTAAAAAGCTTGAACCTCAGAAGAAGCCATCATAAAAACAAATGGGCAACTACAAAACTGAAGACATATGACCATCACATGTTTGTGATGGCCCAAAGTTTCTATGACGCTCATGTGACTAAAAAGAGAATTAACAAAATGGGAAAAAGATCTAACTAGACACTTAGAAGACATTCAAGATTGCTGACAGGCACATGAAAAAATGTCCCACATAACTTACAAGGAAAATGCAAGTGAAAATCACAGTGAGAGCAAACGACCTAACAGAATGGCCTGTTGTCAGAACGTTAACAAAAAATTATCCACTGTTGGTGGGATTTTAATTCGGTGTAACCTCTTTGGAAAATACCTTAAAAAAATGTAAATACTGTATGATCCAGCAGTATCACAGCTTTGTATTTACTCAAAGAACATAAAAGCTAATGAAAATATTTATGCACACTATGTTTATGAAAGCATTATCTCCAATAATCAAGAACAAATGGCTGGTTGAAGAAATTGTGGAACATGAAATACCTAGTGGTTTCACTGTTTCAACTGTGGAACATAAATAACCAAAAACCAAATACTGGCAAGCATGGCAAAAATAATTTTTTGACTCCATGAAAAATGTATTCGTTATGAGAAGAAATTGATGGACCGGGTATAGGAGTTGTGGAGGATGAGTGGAATACAAACACATATGGGGGGTGTGAAAAGGGACCCTCAAAGTTACAGAGGTATGGAGCTGACAAAAAGTAAAATGAGGGGACTGACTGGGAGGTTCTAGAAGGGCCACATCAGGGTTTTGCCAGAGTTCTCTCACCTATTTGCTTCATTTATAGGCTTCTTGGCTCTACATAAGGCTGAGTTTGTGAGGTTCTGTTGTAGCTGCTGGAGACACCAAAGCACACTCTGTTATATTACTTTCAGCTTCCTTTTTACATGTGGCTTGTTTCATAACAAAGTGAAGGAAATTGTAATCAACTGCCAAGTGACAGCAAGCAAAAATTTGAAGGCCACAAGTTTACAATTCTGAAAATCCATACTGCTCTGAAAACCATTTTTTGCATGAGTTTGTCACCAATCTCATTTGGCAGTTGTATCTGACCTAAAATTTGTGTGAATGGAATATGTATTTGCAAAGTGTTTTTATCAGGGGTTCCTATATCTGCTGTGGGTTTTTAAAAAAACATTTTCTAATATCTTAAAGTTTTGGACACAAAGATTTTGGATAAAATGTACACAGGTATTTCCACTACTGGGTCTTTATCTAGTATTCTTTAGAAACAGAATTTTCTATTTCTTTTTTTTTAAATAATTTTAACAATTTGGTACTAACTAGCATGTGGGTATTATCTTTTATAAATGGACAATTTTTAAGGGATTTTGTTTAGCTTAAGATTATAAAAGTGTCCAAATCAAGAGGAATTCTGAAATATAGATGAAATGGGATGACTGGGATGCAAGAGGTGGTATGATATTAAAAGTTTACGTTGTGAACTGGGAGATTCTGGAAGAAAAACAAATTACTTGTTTTAAGACCCTCTTGGTTGAAATGGAGGTACCTTTTTGAGGTACAGTCAGAGATAAGGAAGTCAAGGCCGTCAAGGCCTGCCACTATGCTACTTTGATCTGAAATGGGAATACTCAGAAGTATTTTTAAATAACAGTGTGGCTCCAACAATCAGATTTTAAGCTCACTGCTTTCCATGTTGTCCTACACCTTGTAAATGATGTAAAATGACACTACTTTAGAAACACTTCACAAGTTTGGGAAGGGAAATTTAAATCTACCCAGATTCAACTAAAGGAGGAAATAAAGGGCCATCCTGCTTGTATTCGAGCCACAAAAATTAACTTGGGCGCTCTGTGGAACTGAGATGGTGATCAGACTATCGCTGTAGTCATTGACATCTACACTGCATGTACAGATCTCCCCTTTCTCTCCCTCCCTCTGACCCTTATCAACAGGCTTTAGGGAAAACCATGTTGAGACATGGGATTGCACAAAATATGCTGTTTCCCTAATTTAACCAGAAACTATGAATACAAAATATAATTTGGAATTTATCCCCCAAAATACAGGAACATTCACAATGGGACAGTCCTGTCAAAGCAGAGATAAATGATGAGGCAATTGGAAAATAAGATTAATGTATTCAATGCATAAATATTTATCTGTAAGACAAAAGGCACTGTGCTTGAAGATTTGGGGCTTGATGGTGAGGAAAAGAGACACGACTCCTTATGTACTAGAAGGGAAAATAGCGCAAAACCAAAATGGCACCTGTGAAAAGCCCCACATTTATCTTTAGTAAAGGGGTCTGGCAACAGTAATTGCACCACTCAGAAGGGGCCACATAGCCCTTATTTTTCCTAACCATACATACATGAAATATATTTCTTTATCACAGCCTCTGATATCCTGCTTTTTACTTGAAACTATCTGATAGCACTCACCTGTCACCATTCTAAATGAGCTGTCTTATTCTCCTTGAATCAGTACTAAACTACTCAAATATGAAATGGATAGAAATGACCCAAATATGTTAACATTGTTTTTTAAAATCCAAACTCCTGTTCACTAACACCAGAGATAACAAAGCTCATCATTCAGGCTATTTGAAAGTTCAGAACCACCAGCAGCCCCAGTACACTTCCAGGACCTACATGTTGAGGGTCTTAATGGAATGTTCACACTTGGAATGCCACTATTATCAGCGACTAGTCAGAACTGTGTTCATTACCTGTGTTCACTAGTTGAAAGAATGAACACCATGCCTGGGTGACATACTATGGTGTGGAAACATCTAAGGAGCAAGTGCTTCCCCAAATCTAGATTTTTTTAAAGAACTTAAAGAGGCTCCATTTTGACTGATGCCATAAATGCTTGATCTCTCATTTCTGAAAGAACTACCCTAATCCAGGCCCCAAATAAATTTTCTTTTTAACAAGTCTATGGGTATTCCTATTATTCCAAAGTCCAACTTCTTTGAGAGAAAACAGCAAAACCGTTTATTTTATAGCTATCTGAACTTACTCAACAGTGTCCAGCCAGGGTTATAGTAGACAACTCTACATTTAGTCAACACTTGATTTTGATGAGAACAGAAAAAAGTATACCTGTTTTATAACAGGGTCAAATACGCATTATGCTTTACTTCACCTAAACGAGGAAACCAGGGAACTCCTGAGTAGCACTGCTCACTGGATAGTGAATGACAAAAAGCATAAGTCCTAAAAAACTGACAACTATAATGACACAATTAGTCTGTATTAACTGTTAAAAATAGTCTTTCTCTGCGGAACTCTACATTTATTTCATGTTGTTTAATTTTTACTAAGGAAATATTTTTCGCTAGAATTACAAGGCAGAAAGTCTGGTAAATTATTTTCTCTACTATTCCTTTCATCATCTCTCTTTCCTTGTGTCACATCATCTACCATAGCACCTACCTGTTATTGCCTTCAACAACAACAAAAATATCACCATCTGAAGCCACAAGCCAAGAACAGTGGCCGTATAAGGATAGGCTCAAATATTTAATGGATAATAGAGCATATGGAAACATGATAAAAAAAAAAGTTGCCATTGGCTGCCGTTTAAATGTGGAATTTTTTAACCTCTAATGCAAAGGGGAATTAAGATTCAGCTCCAGTTTAAACAGCAATTCTTCAGTGTTCTTCATAGCATAACCTCTAGGGTTTTCAAATTTACTTCCTAAGTCAGCAAGCAAGCAAAAAGATATTTTAAATAAGGCACAGGAGTTAAACACAAACACAAGCTACAACTAAAAAAAATCATGTTCAGAAAAGAAAAAACTTGTGTGCAAAAGCTGCCAGTATAATATTAAGGGTACATAATAAATGAAGTCTAAAAAATAGGTAGTAGGGAATAAAGAGGCAAACCTAGATACTTAACTATATAAATTAACTTGTAGGTTAGGAGGGAGACCCTTTAAGATACTGAAAAGGATAAACTTACTAAGTGCAAAGTTAACTTTATGGTAAAAAATACAAATAATGAGTAGAAGAATGCAACACAGAAAGGCTTATTTTTAGAAAGGAAGAATCAAAGTTTAAAATTTGGAAATTCCTAGTTTCTCCCTGTAATTATTTTATAGCTTTCAACATCAGCCTTTTCCATGAATATGGATTATACTGGGAAAGTTTTAGTGTTTCTGTTTGCTATCGAGTATTGACACAGAAATCTGTTACATAACCCCTATTGGCCACCAGCACACCTCCTGCCTTTAGAAATATACCAACCTTCACTTACCAAAATGCTCATTCTTTTCCACTGAAAGCAAAACAAATACTGTGACAAAAAAAAAAAAAAGTTTGCAAAATATGTGGTATGAACTACACTGAAAAAGAAATGAACAAAATATTTTTAATTATACAGTTCAGAGAAAGAGAAAGGGTATAGGCCAAAGGGTTTCTCTGGAGGGGAAGAAAAAAAAAATACATCACCCAAGATGAGGTAAAAAGGACCACGAACCACTGAAACACTACTTCATGCAGTATGTCTAGGAGCAGAAGGAACAGAGGTTGTATATATACGCATTGCAAACAATGTACATTATACAAACTTATAATTAAAACCTAGTGAATCAATCTAATGAAAATCATTCACACAGCATTATTTAGGCAAATATGTTTAAAAAAATATTTTAATAAGCATGTTCAGAATGGCAGACAGGGAATGGGAGAAGGGAATTATCTTACAGTGCAAAATTACTATGCATAAATTTAAAAACATCTAATTCATAATTTTAAATGCCTATTTAAATATTACTTCAAATACATTTTAAAGCTCAATAGATTTGTGTTGAATTAAGTTGTAGATTCTGAACCCTATTTGAAAACATTTCATAAAAGAGAAAACCATTCCAAATAAAAATGATAGTGCTTTGCTGGGTTTAGGGTGGGGTAGATTAACTATTAACAGAGGCTTCTTTTACCAATGCAATGTGTCAACAGTTTGAGAGTTATGAAATATACTAAATCTTAAGCAAATTAAGTTCATGATATTACCCAAAATTTTAAAGTAGTGCAACGACTTATCAAGTTATAGTGGCTGCATTATGAACAAAGTACTATGTGAAATACCTGTATAAACACAAAATACATTTAAATATTTCTTATGAAAAGCTGAGCACTATGTATTATAATAGTGGAATGTCTTTCATTAGGCATATTTTAAAAAGATGAAAAGTAAAATTCCTAACATGTATACATGTGCCATATTTGCAAACATGCCTGAGAATTTATTAAAAATATTCCTGTAATATTCTGCAAGAACTTCATAAACCTGCAACAAAATGTATCTTTTACAAAAGGTGAAAATGGCATTCTAATACCACAACAGCCTAAAAAGTATACACTATTCATTTGAAACATTTCTATAGATCATCTTAGACAAAGATCTAGGATATTTTGGATTTGTTTAATAAAATCTGATTTAGAAAATGGATTGTGACCATCTGCTAAAGCTGCCATTCTGTATAAATTAATGTTCTAGGTAAAGCAAAACAACAAAAAACTCTTACTTCTCCATATTTTTACCCAAAACTTAGACTTCCTTGATATGTATGTAAAACAGTGGATGTACTTTATATGAAGTCAAGTGTTGTAAAGTGGCTTTTAACACTGCTTGGGGTGGTTATGGGGGTGGGGGTAGTTGTTCACATTGGTGATGGGAAGCAGTCTGAACAGTTAATACTTCATGGGGCAAGACCTAAACCATAATTTCCCAGTGCAAACCTCTATTCAATCGCATTAGATAGCTGAGATCACAGATTTGTTTTAAAAAGGCATTGGCTATTCAACTCATAGCAGAAAATGACAATAAAGCATTTGGGGTATGCCTGCATGATTAAAAATAAGAATAGTTAATAATCTTTTATAAAAGTTTGGATATAAGTTGGTCTATCAGCTGTATAAAACTACAATTTTTAACAAGAAATTTGCACTAAAAATAAACTGGCACTCCTGCAAGGCTATGCAATGGATGGTCATATTTGTAGTCCATGAACAATGATTACTACACTTATTATCAGTTTGGAAATTATGAAATCTGAAAGACTGGATTGTAACTGGAAAAGTCTAAAAACTTTTCTGACTTCACTTTCTCATTATTCAAATAATATTTTTGCGTGCCAACCCTTGTGTGTGTCAATATCTAAATATCACTTGACTTTTCCCTCTGTTAAGTTCAAAAATGGGAAACTTTATAATGCATATAAAAATAACTGAACAGGATTCTAGTCAGCATGATACACTTAAGCACTTATGCCAACATTAAACTTTTGCTTAAAAAATAACTTTGAAAATTATAGCAAATGCAAAACAAACTATGCAGTTTAAGTATCATGCTTAATTTCAGAATTCTCAAAACTATTTGTCCTTAAGTAGAAATTCAAAGGGAAAAAAACAAAAACAAATGTTCACAATCCTTTATGAATTACCACCTGAATAAGAAACATGACTTAGTTACTACACAAACACTTAAAAATTCATTAGAAAAACCTTAGCAAAATAAAAATGAAAGCTGACAGACTCAGAATATCAATTCCTCTCATAAAAGTTTACCAACTGTACAAGTTAAGAAAATTATACAAGCTTTTGTATTAAGAAAGGACAGCTCAGTCAAGACATATGTACTGTAAAAATCTTTCAAAGGCTACAAAGAATCTGGAAAAATACAGAATGTATTTCTTAAGCCCAGATAAGAATATGGAAAGACATCATTGATGTCAACAATTTTACATATACAAACCTGACTTGGTTTATTTTAAACTTCTATATATAAAAAAATCATGCTAGCATAACTTTCAGGATTCATAAGGGTTTCCTTAATAATGACACTCAATCTGTATGGAGAGAAAAATGTCTGTTATAGATTACAAGACATTTTAACAAACTCAGGAAAACTGGTATTAAGCAGAAATTTGAACTTGGTTTTTCTCTGCCATCAAACTAAGCAAAAAGTACTTTGTAGTAAAACTTTAGGATTAATATATCAACTGAGAAGGTACAGATATATCTTTAGTTCATTCAAATTCACTAATCTATTTGTTATATCCTTAAAAGGGTCTTTACAGTTTTAAAGTAAAAAGTCTGTATAATTTTCTAAAGTTAGGACTCAATTCAAATTTTAACCAACTGCTTCATGGAAATCAACTTTTTAAGGTAACCCATCAACCCTGAAAATTTTAGTCACACCAGAATTTACTCCAAAGAAAGTAAACTAAGCCTAAAATTTAGTCATCTGTGTTTTCAAGTTCTTCATATTTTCCATGTGAGATTGCTTCTTGGAAAAATTCAGAAGACCCTGGACTTTCTTTTCCATTGCTGTTTACCCTTCTCCTTTTGGCAGGTCTCTCACTCTTTTCATCAAATTCGTTTTCATTTCTTGCAGTCATATGGGCAAGTTTTGGGTCAGTGGTAAGGTTATCTGTCTCATAACCATTAGTATCCATATCTGCATGAAGTGGTTTCTTACTTCCACCTGTTGGTCCATTCATATGTAACCCTTCAACTTTTACTTCATCTTTGTTTAATGTTTCACCTGGTCCATTAGACGACACTCCTATGTTAGAAGAGACATAAATAAAACTGCTAATATTAAAAAGTTAAATTTGTAAACTATCATAAAATAGCCATTGGAAATAACTTTTCATCAAAGAAGTGGAGTATCAAATCATGTACATATGTTTCTGTATGTGTGTGTGCATGTAAGGTTGAATTCTGACTCATAGTTGTATGGCTTTGGGCAAAATATTTACTCTATACTTGTTTCTATACATACACATGAGGATTTATCTTTTCTTATGCTTTAAAGTTATAATACTATCAAAAGAGAAAAATATTCAAAACAGTGCCCTTTTCAAAATCTACTTACTCTTTTATATATCCTTAAAGCTCTTTCCTGAAGAAATATCATAAGCTCTCAAAGTACTTCATAAATAACTTGTACATATCTGATATAAAACGTCAGGAGTTTCAGCCCCTCCCTGGTGGCACAGCGGGTTAAAGAGCAGCACTAAGAAGCTAAAGCCACTTCCGCATGAGTTCGATTCCCGCCTGCCCCGGCAGACCTCTCCTGACCCGCCCGCTGCTCCCCTCAGCAGTGTACTTCATCGATTTGCCTGTTCTGCTCTCCACTCTGTCTCTGGTGAAGCCTCTCACCACCCCTGAGCTTCTGGCTGTACCCCAGTTCTGTATGCACAAATAAATAAATCTTTAAAAACAACAACAACAACAACAAAAAAAACGTCAGGAGTTTCAACCTAAGAGTTAACAAAAATACTTATAGCCAGGCATCTCCACTGATAAATTTAGTGCCATTAAAAAAAAAAAATTTAAAAGAAACATTCTCTATTATAGTATACTTCATTAAACTTACTGTTTTTTAATGTTGTAAGTAGGAGTTCTTTCTGTCAATTAGCTATTGTGCAGTGCATGTATGTTTGCAGATTTTATGTATGTTTCCTCTAGTATTTAGAAATTCTTTTTCTTCCATTTAGAAAGTTTAAGAGAAAACAAAACTCATTTCCCAGGCTATGCAAGAGACATGTCCTTTGTTATAAAGAAATAGAAGTGTTTTCTTTGTTTGCTTACCATTTTGATTACTACTGCTTATAGTGCTCTCTTCCTTCTCAGACTGGCTGTTACTACTGTTTGAGGCAGTTGGGGGAGGGGATGGTGCCCGACTAGAAGCAGCACTCTCACTTTCATCTAGAAGACGGTCCATGTAATCCCTTAAAATTAAGTAAAATAATAACAATAAATTTCTTATATTAAAAACTGAAAATTAAATAAATGAGATTAAATTCAGAAGGTTTTATTGACAAATATATTCTAATTTGCACTTACATTCATTCCAGTGTCTCATCTATTATATCAGGATCTGAACATTTAAATAGAAAGTTCCTTTTGATTACATGTTTGTTGAAAATGTACAAAGGCTTTACACTAGCATATTTTGCATATGCCAATAGTAAGTTAAAAAAACTTAAAATTGCAAGCAAGTGCTCTAAGTGGCCAATTAAAGCCAGAGGATCTGTGAATGAAAATACAGGGATTATGTCAATCAGAAAAGACTGTATACAAAGGAATTTCTGGACAGAGAGTGGGATTTTACAGCTCCTTAAAACTATTCGATGGCCACTGCAATACCTGAAAGACAAATTAAGCATCATTCACTACCCGGAAGCTTCTTTAATACTTTCTACATTACAGATCTGCTAGATCTGAGCTATGACAAGCTCACTAAGTTCTTAAGGTTTATCTGCTGGCTTTATGCTACTACTGTATTTTAGGTGAGAACTCAACTTTTTCCCTAAACTGTATGGCATGGAAAGTTAGTGTGGGACAAGTGACATTGGGTTTAGTATACAATAGAGCTAAATGTTTGTGTCTTTAGTCTTGTGTTACCTATAAAATGTATGTACATCATATCTGACCTATCTACCTTACAACAAAGGGTTGTGGTAGATGTGTAGGAAAATGTTTTGTGAATAATAAAGTGATATTAAGTCACTAAAATAAAGCCAAGCAAACTATGTCCTATATGCTGGTCACCTGTTTGGTAAATAACATCTTACTGGAATAACATATAATTTATTTATTTATTGTAGTTATGACTCTTTTTGTACAAAAATGAAAACTTAAAGCCTACATGGCATGAAATATTTATTCTCTTCCTCTTTTAAGAAAAAGTCTGTTGACACCTGCACTTGATTAATTCCTTGAGGGCTGGAATTTTGTTTAACTGATAGACCTAAGTTGTACATAGCACAGAATGGAAACTCAGTAAAAACATAAATACATTATTTATTTTAAAACCATCTCAGAATAAAAAGATTAAGACAAGTCTTTCAGAATTTTGTAAGCAGGGTAAAAAAAAAATGTGGCTAAGAAGGAAATAATGGAAGTGCTTAGGATTTTACTGAAAGCCTCTGGTAATAGTTTACAAAAGGCCATTAACTATAGTTATAATCTCAAACCACAGGATCATTTCTGTTCCCTTGGTTATGAAAATATAATAAATACAGAAACAGCACCTGACACATAAAGCTTTTTAACAGTCTGAGATACAAAACTATCATATATCAAAGAATCACATATCACCATAAATTAACCAACATTCTAAGCCTTATTTTCTTCATCTATAAATGGAAGGAACTAAATTAGATGGCCTTTACTACCTTTATAGCTTTATGGCACTCATCATAATACAAACATATAACAAATTGAAAGCACACCAAAGTAGAAATAAGACCACAAAAACTTACAAAGTTGAAATAAAGGATGAATGAGGCAGTATTTGTTGGAAATAAAGTTGATATGGTGGGAGCAATGTTAAAAGCCAAGTAAAGGAGGCAGAGTTGGCTAGAAACCAAATTATCTTAAATTTCTGAATATAGAAATAACACTGTTAAAAAGTAATCATTTTTAAAAGAGTAATAGTATTCAGAATATTTCATGAAGATTCAGGTAGTCCATCTATGAGATTGAAGAAGACTTTAAATAACCAGTGATGCTAATTTTTATTTTTTAAATAATTATTTGCAAAAGCTGGTTTACTGAAATCTCCTTATTCGCATATTGCTACTAATTCTTCAGGGTAGTAAAAAGAAACTGCAGTAAAATCTTTTAAAGGCTGTTTCTAGGCGGAAAATGTCAATGTGTATCACTCTGGTGAACAAATGGACAGTAACAATGTAAAACAAAACAAAGCAAACAGCCAACTTTCAGGAATATGTGTTCTAATTGAAGTTTAAAAAAAAGGAAAATGAAAAAACTAAAACTTTATCTAGAAGCATTAACTTAGTGTTTTTGCAGTAACTTAAAGGACAATTATTAATAGAAGAATATCCTGGAAACAAACTGGAAAATAAGTCTATGCCTATAACAAGAGGGGAAATCACAATTTATCGCCATGGGGAAAATAATGTATAGGCTGGGTCATAGCTTCTTATAAAAATGTAACACAGCCAAAGTAATGAGTATGAGTAAGAAATCACAGTCCTTAACAGTTATAAAGACTTTATGAAAAGCACAAGTACAAATGAATTCTACAAAATGGTATTTGTGCCATTTGTGCCAAATGGTATTTGTTTATTTCATACCATAAACTATAAAAAAAGAACATCTAGGTTTACATTTAACAATGGCTACTCCACCTTAACCTTAAGAGGAATCACGGTTACAGATAAAAGTATATTCCAACCAAAAAAATTCAAAACCTATGGCGAGATTAAGAAACTAGAATGTTTGGCGGCATATCCCTACCTAACCTGTTGAGCTTCACATCACAGCGGACCAACTAAGTCAGCCCACAACAACACTTCCCTTGGTGATGTTTTCTGAAAGAGAAAACTGGATGAACCATGGGTCTGACCCAGCATAGCAATTCTTATGTTCTTACTGCTGATGACGACAGATTGCCTGTAGTTCGTATGTGAACATTATTTCTGAAATGGGTGAAAAAAATGAAAGATGTTACTGTAACTTTCCCCTAGAGAATAACTTGAAAACTGACTATTTTAAGATATATACTGAAGAACTTAAAACATTAGCTAAAATTTGGAGTAGTTATATATGAAATTCTACTCTAGTCATCATCAGCTTTGACTAGTGGGGAATGAGTCACAGGGAACATTGTCCTATGATTTCCAGCAGTTATCACACCCATCTTACTCCTTTTCAGATAATTTTGTTTTGGTTTTAGAGTTTGATCCTAGAGAGTAATATGAGCAAAGACAACTGTAAATGAACATGACCAAGAAACAGTCCAGCTTCTGGAGTTTGAAAAGCACAATCAAATATATGTGTAAGTACATTTATCAAAGGGAGTAAATTAAATATTCTTTACTAGTGTACTTCTTTGTCATAACTTTGAACTATTGATATTCCACAGACATTAGGAAATAATCAGTAAAACATGGCAGATTTAACCCCATCTTGACATTCTATAAGCATTTTTGTGCAACTTATGTGAGCAGTATTCAATACTCAATTACTTAGGTACCAAATTATTAGTGCCAGTGGACATCTCTCCTTCCAAAGCCAGATTAAATGAGGTTGAGAGAATTTGGTAGATGGAAACTTTAAAAAAAGACATATCATAAACATGGAGCTTCCATGACCCAGCAATCCCAACTTCTAGGTATCTACCCAAAAGACACAAAACGCTGATTCAAAAAGATACCTGCACCCCCATGTTTATTGCTGCTTTATTTACAATTGGAAAGACATGGAAACAGCCCAAAGCACAAAAGTAGATGACTGGATTAAAAAGATGTGGTACATATACACAATGGAATATTACTCAGCAACCAAAAAAATAAACAAACACTTGCCTTCTGCAGCAACATGCATGGAGCTGGAAAAGATCATGCTTAGTAAAATAAGCCAGAAAGAAAAGGAAAAATACCGACAGCTTCACTCATAACAGGAGTATAACAGACCAGGAGAGAAAATAATAATAAAAATAATGAACAGTTATATACCAGAGACATTTTATGGGGGTGGGGTGGGGGATGAGATCAAAAACAGTGGGGGAGAGGGAAATGCACTGGACTATGGTGATCGTACATGGATGATTTGGTGATGGGAAGCCCACAGGGGTTACAACTGATATGAAAAAATGCACAAAATGATGTAAGAATAAACTATTATATTTAAAAAAAGACCTATCAGACATAATGCATAAAAAACTGATATAATCACAACCCATATTCCCTGTGAAGTAAGCTAAAGTTGCATGATTAATTATTTTTGCTAGAGAAAGAATGTTCAAGAAATCTAAGAAAAAATTCACCATATGCATGTCGTTTCCTCTATAAAAATTTTGAACAATAAAGAAAATGTAATTTGACCTGACTTTATCACCCCTATGCTCCTCAGTTCTTTATCTAAATCTTATTTTTGAATACAGGAACAAAAGTAGATCAGATAACTTCCCTTCCTCTGTAAAGGTCCTCTACCAGGCACATTGTCTTTTATTTTTTGAACAGATAGTCTCCTTAGTGTTTTCAGAGTGTTAATATACATTGACAAGTTTAAATGCCCTTTGAAGATAAGTCAATAAATAGACAAATTTAAATAAATGTAAACTTGTATCCTGTTAAAAAGGAAAAAAAAAAGGAAAACCTAGGAAAATTATGACTAAAAGAAGAAAATGAACTCACGTTACACCAGGATGAAGATTATATTTCTTTTTTCCAAATCGTGTTTGCTGAGCAAAGAAATCATAACGTTCAGATTTTTTCCACATATAATAGAATGCTACACATTCACCAACCGACCTTGTTCGAACCTGTAAAAAAAGAAAAGTACTTTTTAAAAATCTTCTTAATGGAGTTATTTCATTAAAAATATCTTAAGCTTGAAAACAAATTTAACTGGCCCTTAACTATATATAGGTTATCTGTCAAGCAAGGCATCTATCTATCTATAGTACTATGTATAAAACACTGCAGCAGCTTTGTTTGTTAAAACAAACTTCCACTGAAGGAAATACTACACTGACAATAGATTTTCAAACATTTAGCATTATGCTTTTTAACCGACTATCATATAAAATAATGAGAATGAAGTAAAATTTAGGTTAAAATTATGTTATAAACAGTTTTGTTTATAAAGGTATTCAGAGAATACCATTCAATTTAAAAGAAAGAATCTCCTTTAAATTCCTTTTTAAGAATTTTCTTACTAGACCCTTTAACAATACAGACTCAGTTAAATCTGAGACTATACCGCAGTGAGTTTGAAAGCTAGAATAGTGTTAGCATATTGTTTACTAAGTTACTCCAGGGCTTACTGTGCTATTCTTATTTCAGCAACAAAACATATCCCATTTAATCATTTTAATACTTAAAAGGATGCTAAGAAAATCCCTTTAAATCCTGCTGCATGTCTGGAGAGCTGGTAAGGCTGATGTATATAAATAAGATACTGGGTGTTTACAAGGAAAAAGGTGTGTATGCATGAATGCTTGGGATTCAAGATGATACTGCTTATAACTAATAAACTCTTGATCTTGAATTTAATGGGTCATGTTCTTAAGGGGCAGACTGCAACTATGGTCCATTTAACATCTTTACTTCCGCACCCAACATGTTTTTCTTCTTGTGTACCTATATTGGTCTACATTGATCTAAGACTGTAAAAAAATCACTTCTCAAGCATTTTTGTGTCGTCCAGAAACTTATTTCTAGATAAATGTATTTTTCTTACCTGGATCATTCTTTTCTCCCTTAAAGAATTACTGTCCTCCCTTTGCTCATGACAACTAGAATATTACATACAAGTCAGCTGGGATTGAAATATCACTCTACCAAATAAATCAATGTTTTATTTTCTATTGTTTTGATGAGATATTTTAGAATCATACTTTCCAATCACCTAGTAAAGATTTTCTTGGTTTGTTTTTATAATCAGAAACAAACATGACCAACTGTTAACAAAGTACTTCTCTCATAAAGTGCTCACTATATATTGGAGATTATCAGATGATTTGGACACATCATAAAAAGATCTGTACACATTTTTGATATCAGTGCTAACACTCAAAACTTCTTTATTGTATCTACAAACTGCAACTAGAGAATCAAGAGTGACCTAATTAATATACAACTAAATTTATGAAAAAAACAGCATTTGTAAGCAACTATTTATGTGACAGTTTTATATAACAAATCCAGTAGACACCACTGAATCTCATACAGAGGTATTAAAAAAGGAAAATATGGTGACATTTTAGAGCCTCAGATACAAACACACAAATTCAAATACTTTCATTCATCAACTAGATAAGCCATGCTATGAAACATAGACACTATCTTTAAAGGGATATGTAGGTGCCTACCTGGAGGAATAGGGGTTAAGTCTCAGTATTATTATGCCCAAGGCCTGAGTTAGATTATTGGCAAGGGAGCTAACCCATGTGAGATTTCTCCTTTTACCCGCTGCTCCCCTTAGCAGCTCCACTTGTTCTGCTCATTACTGTCTCCTGTGATCCTCTTAACTCCTTCCCTCAACCTTGTCCCCAATGACTTGCACCCCAGATCATTTTCGCAAAAATAAATTAAAAATCTAAAAGACATGTAAAAGCAAGCTCCCTGTCATTTGTATTTGCCATATTTATAAAGCCTACAAATTACTTAATTTCCTACATTCAAAATGAGGCTTTAATTTTGCTTGTCCTAATCTAACGTAAGTACTTTTTTTCCTTCTTCATACAACACATTACCTCCTCATACAATTTTGCAGTTACTATTACCCAACTTCAGTTGTCAGAAAATTAAACCTAAAAATACATGTACAAGTAATCATAAAGTTCTCTCAATCAGTATCAATATGGAGTGATAAATGGTCATGTTAAATAAAATTGTGAAATAATATTGTTACAATGTATACAAAAGCTGACTTACTGAGGTATTCTCTGGGAAAGTAATTAATTAAAACCAAACTAAACATTAACTAGTACCTACTCAAATATAAAAAATATTTTCACTTCAAATGACGTAATAAAGTAAAAGTACTTTATTAGTAAGTCAACTTGAAGAAATGCTTCATTTAAATTTCGAAGAATTTCCTTTAAAAATACTTCAAAATTTGTGGAAAATAAATATAAATAATTACACACTACACACATCCCACCAAATGTTGCTAAGCATACTTAGCAAGCCCAATCTTAAAAGTTTCCAGTAATATGTACTGAAAACAGCTAGTAGGAAATATACATGCTTAGAAGTCTAGACGTGCTTATTTTTAATAATTTACCCTAAGTACCAATTTATTAAAATATTCATTACAGAACCTTTAAAATTAAGTAAATAAAATATAAGATGATCTGGTAAATTTCCTTTTTGTGAAGGAGAGAACATAGGTCATTACTTACTTTATTAGCCTGAATCAAATGAAAATCCTTTCCATAGGCCTTCAGTCCTTGTTCAAAATTTCTACACTCTTCTTCTGTCCAAACAGATAATTCCTCTGACAAAAAGGGAAGGGAAACTGTTATCCACTACTTCTCCAAATAACAAAATTGCAAATACAAACATAACTTTCTGGTAACAATGACACACTTTATTCCTGAATTCTATTACTGATAACTGCAAAGATAAAGTGACAGCAACGAATGAAATTCTGGATGGTGTGGTTCTTTATTCTTCAAATTCAAGACTCTCCAATATTTCTTACGATTCAACTATATTAGTTTAGTCACTTTCAATTCCTTCTACCTTCCAAATTTCCTACGTTCTTAATACATATTTTGAGTATGCTATTGCCTCTGTCTATAATTATTTCCCACTTCTGACTTCACATTCCCTTTTAATGCAGCTAATTCATTTATATCCCCACAAAAACATCACCATTATAGAAGCTTTCCCTAACATCCTCACCTTTCCTCCTATTCTCCAAACTAGGTGAAATCCTACTACACTAAGTTTGATTGGAAGAACTCCTAACTACTATGCAGCTTACCTAGTGTAGGTTTCTAAGTACCATGAGAACAGGGACATTATTTATAGCTATGTCCTCAGAACTTAGTAAGGCCTCCATTTTGTGTGTGTGTATGAATAAATCTCCTTTGTTAATGGTATACAAAACAGCACTGTTAGTTGATGGGGTAGGAACCAGCTTAAAGAAACGAAAAGAGAGACCCTCTGGTGGCACAGGGTTTAAATCTTTCAACCACTACAGCCTGAGTTAGATACCCATCCCCAGCCAGGGAGTAGACCCACATGGCATAGCAGACCTCTCTTGTCCCATCTGCTTTCCTCTCCATAGTGTATTTCAGTAGATCTGCCTGTTCTGTTCTCCACTTTGTTTTTGGTGAACTCTCCCACCCTAATCCCCGCACACTTCATGTCTATACTCCAGTTCTTGTATGCATAAATAAAAATAAATCTAAAAAATAGAGAAATGAAAAGTCTGCATTTTAGTCACTGCTTCATTATTTATGAATTACATTTTCCTCAGCTAACTTAGTTTTGTTCAGAAAACTAAATCTCATCAATTTTGAAGTGAGGATAATATTAGTTCATAGGGCTATTATCTAATGAGAAAATATTTCAAAAACTGCTTGAAACTGAAATGCACGTTTATTTAAATAGCCTTATTTTTCCTATTCTCCATCATGCATTAATTTAATACTTGCATGACATGAGTTATTCAACAAGTAGAAGCAAGTTGTTATTCAACAAATACTTAATTCAGAAAGACAAGTACTAGTTAATTTTAAGAAATACCTAAAATTAAAGAACTTCAATGTATTCTTTATTGTTGCATTAATGAAAACAAATTTAATATTTATGCTTACCTCTAGCTGCTTTCACATTAAATCTTAATCTTCTCAATGCTTCTTCTGTATCGAAATTACATTTAACTAATTCATATAGTGCCTAGAAAAATAAAAGGCTTCATTATGATGGAGAATATGAACAATACATGGCTACAATTTCTTAAGACAGTAATCCAGAACTTGTTTTCAGTTTTTTTCCCTAGAGAATGAATGAACTAGTGACTACAATACACAGAATAAAGAAAACCAAACCATTTCAGTCCTAATAAATTAACTTCCTTTAAATATGTAGAAAATGTAAGCAAGTACACTAACTTTGTGGCCACAGTATCCCAAAAATTTAAAAAACAAGAATCACTTCATAAAAAAATTCACAAATTCTTTATGGGGGGGAGAGTGCCTTAATTTTAAACTAATCAGAAAAGATCAATATTGATATAAAAAGGTAGAAAGCTATTTTTAGGTTTCTGGCAAGCACCGGTATACTATGCGCTTTTAGAAGCATTATCCCAGACATCTATTTCTACCGACAACCAGAGAGTCGCAAGAATATTCAAAGGCACTCTAAAAAGTCTAATAAAAAATACAGGCAAAACAAACACAGCCTTTGCTTATTTGAGCTAAGTTGTGACAATGAGTGTTCACACCAGTATTTTACATGGTGATTATAACCTTAGATTCCCTAACAATGACATTGTAAGAATTTTGATGGATAGAGCAATAATGCTGAATGTGACAGCATTTACATTAATAAAAAATATATATTAACTTATTGGGGATAGTACAAGTTCTATTTTTATTCACATACCTGTTCATTGTCTTTTATGTGAGATCCCTCAGGAATTGCTTCTACACCTTTCTCATCACCTGTTCTTCTAGATGCATCCTTAAGAAATATAATCACTTTATCTTCTGGTAAGTACTCAGGATCCCACAGGAGTTGATCATCGTTCTCATACACTAAATGAAGGAAACATGTCAAAAAGTAACTCAAGAGAGTTAATTGTTGGGAACGGAAAGGTAAAGTGTAGTCCTATTACTTATTTGACTTTATTCTTGGGCAATATTTAAGTGAGTTAGGCAGCCTAAACAGACCAGCACCACTTTATACACCTTTAAGTTCAATCAAGTTGCAAAGTTCTCCTGGTTTAAATTCTATCACTACCACTTATTACCTGCATGACCTTGGACAAGTTACTTCCATTCTCTCTACCTCATCTACCTACACAAGGATAAAAACCCTATTGCTCAAGACTGTAAGAGTTAACATAGTTTAAAAACAATTCTGGTACATGTTAAGGTTCACTAAATAGTAGCTATAATTACCATTTTTGAAAAGTGGTATTTAAAAAAATGTCCACTTATGTTAACAGTACTTATTATTTGGTGATGGGATTTGGTGCAATTTGTTCTTCCTTGTATTTTCCTATGATGCTTCAAAATGTACTATTACAATGAGTAGAAATCACTTTCATAAAACCAAATTATGTTTTTTAAAAAAAAGCCACTTAGATCTCATCAAGATTTCCATTATAGTAAGATTCAAGTCTTAAACTCACTAAAATACAAAAAGTGAAAGAGAGAAGAACCTAAAATGAATGCAGGAAGGAAGCAAGCAGGAAGATGAACTACTGAAATAGACTGGTTTAACACTATTACCAGGATGAATACTAGAACAATGCTGGATTTACTAACAAGGAGAATGTTTCTTTACAACTATGTTGAAGCTGAAGTCATACTGCAAAGGACTGAAGAATAAAAACAAGGTGAAGAAGTAGAGTAGAAAACTTGTGAAAAGTTCAGTGGTGAGAGAGAAGATAGAACAGTAGCTAGAGAAGGCATAGTTGAAGAAATTTTTGTTTGATTTAAAGACAGGAGATAGAATCATTTAAATGGCAATAGGGGAACCAATTTAAGACTGGTTAAGACTGAATTTAAGAAATAAAGGATAAACGACTATATCAAAGTTCCTTGCACTATGAAATAAAGGAATTAACTGCTTGTTAAGCATCGCTTATTTATCAGGCACCATGGCTAACTGTTTTTCTACAAATTACTTTGTCCTCTGGCCCCACCAAACATTTAAGACTTTAAAATATTCTACGTTTCTTTTTTTTTTTCAAAAGTTTATTTTTACATCATTTTGTACAATTTTTTTCCATCTCGATTGTAATCCCCGCGTTTCCCATCACCAAATCACCAGTGTGCCATCACCATAATCCTGTGCTATTCTACGTTTCTTAAAAAAAAAAAAAAAAAGATTTATTTATTTATACATACAGAACTAGGGTGCAGGCCAGAGGTGAGGGAGGTGAAGGATCTGGGGAGCAGTGGGCAGGTCAGAAGAGGTCTGCCACCTCCCTGATTGAACTCATTGCTTCAGTGGCTGCAATAGCTTCACAGTGCTGTGCTTTAACCCACTGCACCATCAGGGAGGGCCCTCTTCTACCTTTTTGTTTACCAAAATAGAAAGAACAGCTCAAAGAATTACTTTTCCTTAATAAACCTCAGGCTTTTCCTAGTCTGTTGGTATAACTCCAAACTGTAAATTCAATAAAACACCCATGGTAAAGTGAATTTGAATATACTGTTTTGATTTCTGTTCTCTGTTCAGCCTGTATGCAAAAGGGAACAAACTAGTTCTTTTATTTTTGGAATGACTTGACAAGGAAACACTATGGAAGGTGGCTACCGCCACCTCCCCAGTCCCCATTGTTGGGAGATACTTTTGTACTTTTAGAATCATTCATTAGCCACAGGAATAGAGATGTTTCTGATTACACAAATTCAGTAGATGGCACTAAATGAATAGCTAGAGCCCTGGAACTGTGGCTAATAGTCAAATAGGCTACCCTAAAAATTAACTTTGTTATATACAACTGAACATACCCAAAAAATAAGAATGAAAAAATAAAAGATCATGTAGTGAAGACGGTTAGCATTCCATAGTGAATAAACCATACTGCCTTTACTGGTTCTGGAAATAGACCAAATTAGTTTTCAGTTAAGTTTACACACTAAATAGGACTTCTGATGATGATCTAATAAAACAGGCAACGTACTTGATATTTATTAAATAAGAAGATTAGATATTCAGAAGAACTACACTATTATAATAAAACAGAAGGCAAATAATGTTCAAAAAGAAACTATGAGGGGGGAAACAATGTAATTACAAGAAAAAACACTTAAAGAAGCATGAACACACTGGATTTTGAAAGATCACAATCACTAAATAGCAAAAAAAAAAGGAAACAATGAATGCTTTTGGAAGTAAACCAATTCCAAAGGGACCTGAATATGTACAATGAAATGTGGAAAAGAAAATTGAAATGGAGTGCGCGGACGCACACACACAAATTGATTTAAAACACACATGCACGTATGAACTCACTTCCTGGAACTTACCCAAAATTAATAATCAGAAACACACTTAACAACTTTCAATACAATTATGAAAAAAAAGTAAAATTTAAGAACACAAACTGTTTCCCCCCAATGTTTTTAAAATACAAATATCAAAATAGTCAATTTTGACAAATATGAAAAACTGAAAAGCAAATATATAAGCATTTTATTGTTGTTACCTAAGCTTTTTTTAAAAAGCTGTCCAATGGCTTCCACTGATATAAAATACCTTTTAAAATTTAAACTATCAAGGTTACAAAGTGGCATATTTGGAATATTTAAAACAAGAAAAGAGAGACCAACAATTTGGGATGTTACATGGTTTACTACAAAAGCATTCATTGTTTCATTTTTGACTTCTACAGAGAGAAGGAAGAAGAAAGCACATTTTTTATACAGAAATAATGCAGGGTCATCTTTTATAAAGCAGTTCCCATCATAAAATAATAGCTCACATAAATACTTCAAATGCATAAATTTAGCTTTATAATTTTACTAAAAACCCACCTTTTTCATTTTCTTTGTATCTACAAATGCCAACTGGAATTTCTGCTTGAAACATGGAACCCACCATTATCTCCTGTTTTAAAAATAATATAAAACATTAGTAAGATCTAATAACACAGATTTCATCTTCACTTTTTACCTTTACCATCTTCCTAGGTAAACTATCCCTGTTTCTGTCATAAAATACAATCAATTAACTACCTCAAAGGAGTATTGTGAGGATGAATGAGTTAATAATAGAGCTTGGATATGATTGGATGAAAATGTTGGTAGTAACAATGGGATGAATGTGATGCAACCATTTTTTTTTAATGTGGAGAAAAGGAAGGTCTTCAGTTAATAAGTGGAAACACTGAGAAAAAAAATGTTAAATTCAGATATTTTCTAACAAAAATAATGAACAACCATATACCAGAGACATTTTGTGGGGGTGGAGTGGGGAATGGGATCAAAAACGGGGTGGGGGGAGGGAAATGCACGGGATTATGGTGATGGCACATGGGTGACTTGGTGATGGGAAACACGCGGGGATTACAATTGAGATGGAAAAAAAATGTACAAAATGATGTAAAAATAAACTTTTGTAATAAAAAAAATGACTAAATCAAAACGAACCTGAAAAATATAACTGAAGAATTGAAGCTAAAGTAGGGGTAGGAGAGTGAGAATGAGAAAAAGGAGGAGAGGGTAAAGAAATGGGGGTGCTTTTATGGTGGAGATGGTACGGTAACAAGTATCTGAGAAGGTGTAAGTTCATTTCCTAAAAATATATACAATGTTGTAAACCAATGTTACCTCAAGGGAAAAAAAATAATAAAAAACCACTTCATTAAAAAAAAAAATTCAGATATTTTTAAAACCACATTCTAAGGCAGTAGTCTTAAAAAACAAAGCCTGGATCAGCAAACAGCATCATTGTCACCTCAGAAGTTAGAAATGCAAATACTCAAATCCTACCTCAGACTTACTAAGCCAAAAACTCTTAAGGATGGGATTCAGCAGTGTTGCAACAAACTGTTCAGGTGATTTTGATACACACTTAAGTATGAGACCAGGGCTTTAAGGTAAAGGAAATAACCAAAGAATTTGTATAAAGCTCAGTATAGGTGAGCCGAAGTGGCTACGTCTTCAAGCAAGTTAGTAGCTGTCATTAAAAAATTACATACAAATTTTCCCTATCCTTGCACAGGAATTTAAGTGTCTTTCACCATTAAAAAAAAAAAAAAGAGTATTCATTGTCATTTCTTGTACCTCTTTTAACTACTCACCTATCATGGAATAATCAAGTTATCAAAATACTCTACCCAAGTTCCATAAAAACTCAATTTTATCTTACAAAGCCTTAGAACATGAACCTCTGAATTTTGACATTTACCACAACAAAATCATAGTAAATAAAACAATCTGGATTTATAATGGCCTGCTGTGTAATTTTCTTGAGGAAGCAACTAGCTTAGTAATGAAGGACTCCCTATATCCTTCCCCCTCTGAGCTGTGCTCCTTCATTAAAAAATATAACAAACAAAAAAGGTCAACACAATCAAATGCTCTTTTGGATACCCCAGATGTGAAAACAATTTATGCTGAAGAAAAGATACAGGATTCCTTTGCTATCCAAAAATCACATGTGCTATTTGGTAAAAATTGGTAGGCTATTTTTTGGGTGGCAATACTATTACTAGTACTTTATACAGAAGTAATTTTGAGCACACCCAGACCAAAACAGTAACTGATCACATAAGAATAATGTACTTTTGGATAGTAGGGAAATTAGTACATAAACAAGAATGTGTAGTAAAAACGAACAATTTAAGTGGACTCCCAGGGTTTCTAGGTTTTTTCTTTTTAATTCCTGTATAGTATAGGTATCAGAAAAAAACTGGACTGAAGAACATTCATCTATATAGGTCACACAAATAAGTAATTTCAATAAGTTTTCTCTTCAGTGCCACTGATTATGACACACTAAAATTAACCCATACTACGCTGAGCTTAATTTCCCTCACTCTTCTGACCCACATATTTCTATATATCTCTTTGGAAATCTGTAACAAAGTGTGGCTAAAGCCAAAAATCCTAAGGAAACCCAATCTGAACCTATTAAACAGTGCATTCTTTGTAGAAACAGTAAATATGAGATCTTCCTTTATCTTAATAGCCAAGTTTGCCCTAGGCATCCCAAACTAGGTATCAACTAAAGACCAAAATATCAGAAGGTTCAAAAATATTTGCCAATTAAATAATTACGAGCCCAATCAATTTGATGTTTTGAGCTATTCTGCTTCCAAAGAAATAATTATACACTAGATTTAATTTCAGACATAAGAAAATAATGACATTTTTAAGGAGGAAAATCAGGTCACATATCACAGGTCGTATTTTTCTAGAAGCAATTTGCTTTTCACAGTTTAAGTATAATTAGATATTTTTCCTAAGTCAACTGCTTTGCAACAGCATAAAGGTGTATAATCTTATAATGAAAGACTATGTTAATATGTTATCTTTAAATTCATTTTACAAATTAACACTTATTATGGATAGTTACAGAAAGCCCAAATATGACTCCCAATATATTAAAAATTCAAAATATCCACATTAGTGGGATAAAAAAAACTTATAATCTCAATTAAACAAAATAGCCTGTACTGCTGCTTTCCTAAGAATGTAACATAAAATCAATCACATGCAGTACTTTTTGTACTGTAGTATGTCTTGATTCAGCACTAGTTCAGAATTTTGGATATCTAATTTTGAATGTCAATTACCTAGCAACAAAGTTCAATTTTTCCCTACACACTATTTTACTTTAAAACAAGATACATATTTTTCTTACCTGGTTGTACTAAGGGAAATATCTAAACATCTACCAAATATTTAAAATCACAAAAGGGCGTACCTCAACTTTATCATATGTATCTTAATTATAACCTAATAATTACACTTAGGCTTTCAAATATTAATTTAAGTTTTTGAAAATGTGGTTCTAACTACCTTTTTCCAATCTTCTGATGGAATATAATCTTCATCTTCTTCAGATTCTTCTTCAATTTCACTATCTAGAATAAATAAAACAATTCTATAAAATTATTGCTTGTCCTGTCCTGTCTCTTTATTCTTAATCTAACACCAAATACTTAAAAATGCTAAAAGGTATTTGCAGAGTTAGATCAATACCCTCTCAGTTAAAAATCAAAACAAAACAAAAAAAACCTCTATTAACCTTCTAGAACAATACTAACCTTAGGTTATTCTATATACAAAAACTGTAGGAAAAAGAATTCAGTCAAAACAGTGCCTCTCTAAACCTTATTCTGCTAATAGCAGTTTGGAACTGGATCAAAGTTATATGACGTAATTTTCATCCCTTATAAAATTAAATTTTGGATAAAACAGTGGCTTTTAAAAAAGTGCTTCTTGAAACACTCAATTTTGTAGCCCCACTATGAGGAAATCATTTGAAGGGATATATATCTCTAAACCTTCATTCTTTCCAAATTCCTTTTGATTCAGAGTAGCCAAGCTACTGTTAACATTTTGGAGTAAGAATGTAATTTCTACAAAGGGTGAGGAAATCTTCTGAAAGTTGTCTGACTGTCAGCATCTTCCTACCTCTAAATCTTCACACAAAGTTAAAAATCACATTACATGAACAACTTAATTCGTCCTATGGAAAAACTAAAGGCAGGCAGGTAATATATGTCAGCTTCCATGTACACATCACAAATAAAATACCAGATACATGAAATAAATATTCTTTCAAAAAAGTAATTACTGGGCCTTCCTAGTGGCACAGGGATTAAAGTCTCACAGCAATCAAGCTACTGCCAGCCACTGTGGCAGGAATGTCTAGGCAAGAGTGGCTAGTTTTTGATCCCTGGCCAAGGAGCTAACCTATTAATATACATGATGCAGCAGACCTCTCCTGTCTACCTGCTGTTTCCCCTTAGCAGTATATTTCAGTCAATCCACCTTTTCTGCTCCCCATTCTGTTTCTGGTGAATCTTCTTTCTTCCTCCAACACCTCTGACCTAGGCCCCAATTCTTATATAAATAAAAATAAATCTTGAAAGTAAAAAAAAGCAGCACTACTTAGTATCCTAGTATTAAGCAAACTTTAGCAATGGATGTAATCCTTGTTAAATACCACATGTTCTCCAAACAAAATGAGTAGCTGTTTAGTAACTAACTTCTTGCACTGATATACTTTCCAATTTAACTATACACACACACAAAAAAAACGAAATGCAAATCAAACCCACAATGACCCTCATGTCTCTGAGAATGGTCTATATCAAAAAGGCCAATAATAAGTGATGGTGAGGACATGGCGGGGGGGAGAACCCTAATAACACGGTTGGTGGAAATGTAGGTTGGTACAGTCCTCTGGAAATAGTACGGAGGTTTCTCAAAACACTGCATGATTCAGCAATTCAACCCCTTGGTATCTATTCAAAGAAAACAAAAACACTAATTTCTAAGGGATATACCGACTGCAATGTTCACTGCAAACTATGTAAATAACTAAAATGTCCCAAGACCAGTGAATTGATAAACACAGTATATATGTACATAATGAAATTCCAATCAAACAAAAAAAGGAAATCTTACCATCTGCAACAACATGAAAGGAACTGGAGGGGGATTATGCTAAGCAAAACAAATCAGTAGGCAAAAGAAAAATAATGATTTCATTCATACTATAATGAATGAAGCAAAGGAGTAGACAAACCAAACCAAAACTCAACTTGAGATCTGACAGTAGAACTGAGTCCATCAAATGAGATGAGAGCAGAGTGGGGAGATGGACAATGTATAAAAGACTACTGGAGTTTTGGTGATAAGTGTATGTGGTAACATACATCTGAGGAGATGTGAACCATATTCATAAATCATGCACAGTGTTGTTAACCAATAAAGTGTCTTCCAGAGCAAGGACTTCTACTTAGAATGAAACATGGTAGATCATGTATTACTTAAGATGCATACATTAAATGCTGCCTCTACTATTGGTCATCTCAACTAGATGATAATGTAGAAAAATTTCATACAATGTATTCCCACTGTAAGAATCAACCACTTCTTTAGATATCTGGGAGTCACTGATTAGAGAAATGATTTTATGACTATCCCTAAAAGCAAGTAAAAAATAAACACTTAGGAAAACAGGAGAAATTTGAAAAGACCCATAAAATTATAGGAAGACCCTGGGAGGGAGAGCAATTTAAACAAAGGTAAGGGAGGAAAATCAAGTTAATAATCAACATTTTCTATAGTATATTCACAAGCCATAGGGTCCCAGCAATGCTGAAGTAAATAACATAGAACAAAATCCCATGACTGTCAAGTGGGATTTCAAATTAATGAATTCAAATAGAGTACTAAAACAAATAAAAAGCCCTACTAAATCTTAAGGCCATGCCAAAAGTATAAATTATATATATCCAAACTAGATCAATGAATGATACTTACTTGTATCAAAATATTTACATCGACGTGGGCGAATTATCTCCTGGGCATCTTGAGAAGCAACAGATTGTGATGGATCATCATTGGAAGACTGAGTTTCATCCTCTTGACCTGATGAATCTTTTATATTCTCTTCCTGTAAATTAATAAATTAAATTCCTTTATGTAAAAATGTCAAGAAAACTGTTAAAAGGTAAAAAAAAGTCATGGTGTCCTAATACAATCAGAAAACTAAAATGAAAATACTAAATGCAATATGATGGCCTGGTTTGGATTCTGGAACAGGGAAAAAAAAAATCACAATCACTGAAAAACTGGTGAAATCTAAACTGTAAGTAGTAGTTAATAGTATAGTACTAGTGTTGATTTTTCTGACTTGATAAATATATCATGATTACATGAGATGTTAACATTGTTAATACGAGTTGCTGGGAAAACAGTATACAAACAAAAACTCTGTATTATCTTTGAACACCTCACATAAAATTATTTTGCAATAAGAGAAAAATGAATACACAACTGCCAATTTGTCTTTCCTACTTAGAAATAGTGGCTTTTTTTTTTTTTAAAGGTCAGTACTATATATTAATAGACTAGGCAATGTAATCTGGAATAACAGACAAAACTATTACAATTCAGCAGTGGGTCATAGCGAATTTCTAATTTTTGCTACATATTTCAAAAAAATCCAAATGTTTAACATTTGAATGCATTAGTTTTCAGAGTAAAAGTTAAGTATAAAAGCAAAGCAGTTAACATAAATATTAGTAAGTTACACCTTCAAGAAAACTACAATCTTAAAAATATGTGTATAACCTTACTTTATTTTCCCCACTACAACCACTGTTATCATCATTATCAGCATCTTCATCATCTTCACCTTCTTCTTCTTCTTCCTCTTCCTCCTCATCTTCTTCAGGTAGTGGAATAGAACTATCATAACCATAAAGACTGAGAAGTTCATGAATTGGCATGTCTCCTTCCTAAACAGACCAAAATAAAAAGTTAATTTCTTAACAAGTCATATTTCAAATTTAATTCACAAATGTAGAGTATCCATTCCTTAAAGAATGTTCATAGAATTTTATCAAGAATTCTATTCTAAAAATTAAAGCCAAAAATAATTCTGAATCCAAGGAAAATCTCCACTTGTAAGAAACAATCCAATTTTAATTGCTAGTAATCAAAATTCTTAAACAAAGTAAGTGACACTGGTTTAGAACTTATGCTTTTGTGCAATCGATTCAGTAGTACAGGAAGTTGATTAACACAATGTATGGATGTTCACACTTAATGAGTATACTAGACATGATTTGGCAGTGGGAAAATAGAATAGCTAGAGAACAGACTATAAACTAAGTTAACAAACCCAGAAAAAAGAATAAAATTTATAAGAACCCAAACATTAAAAATTGCTCTGGCCCTCCCTGGTGGCGCAGCGGGTTAAAGCACAGCACTGAGAACCTGAAGCCACTTCCGCATGCGTTCGATTCCCGCCTGCCGCGGAGGTGACCACATGGCGTGGCAGACCTCTCCTGACCCGCCCGTTGCTCCCCTTAGAAGTGTACTTCGTCCATCTCCCTGTTCTGTTCCCCACTCTGTCTCTGGTGAAGCCTCTCACCGCCCCTGAGCCTCTGGCCTGTACCCCATTTCTGTATGCACAAATAAATAAATCTTTAAAAAAAAAAATTGCTCTATTATCTCCTTTTTATACATGAGGAAATTGAGATTGACAGGTTAAACAATTTCTCTAAAAATAACACATTTTAAAGTAGTAGAGACAGCTTTAAAGTCTAATTCCAAAAGTCATGCTGTTCATCAATATATCTTGCAGACTCAGTGACATCTCTCTGAACACAAAAAAATATTCTATGAAATGAAGAAATACCCATATATAGTAAAATAAAATCAGCTTTCTACAATGGTGTTTACTCTAACCACTATATTGTCAGGGGCACATGACAGAATTCTGATTATAAAAAGAACATTTAAGCCAAATCACCTAAACCCCTGTTCCCCACCACACACACAGGAGGGAGAAGAGAAACCTACACAAAAGAGGGCAACAATCAGTCACTTTAAAATCTAGGAAAATATTACTCATGAAACAAGACAGGTTTGGTATTTCTTCAGCTGTTCTATAAATCTAAATATACAATTTCAGGGGGAATGAGTACTTCAGACCTCCTGATAACCACTTAAATAATACAATTAACTCTATTAATCTGTGTGCAAGAAACCACTACTGGTTATAACTTGAAATCATTTTCTTATAGAAAAATATGCTGTTTAGCACTTTTACTTCCTAAATGGCTGTTTCATTTATAAATCGGTTTGCCAATCTGGTTCTAAAAGAGAAATAAGTTTATGTGTCCTGCCTTAATGTTTTGTATCAGCTATAATCTGAGAAGTGGTAAGTGTATCAGGCAAGATACTACCACCCCAGCTGAGTGACAATGGGGCATACATAACTGATCTTTCAAACTGTAGCTCTCCAGCACAACACAAAAAGTGTTTCAAGTTACTAGAAAACACAGACATGGAGATATCTGTTCTATGCAGCAAGGATCTGTTATATAAGAGACAAGAATTTAGAAATTAGAAGCAAGCATTTGAGAAACAGACTTCAAAATCAAGAAAAGGTTGGTTGTATACACAGTAACTACCAGAAGTGTCTCCTATACTTATAGTAAATGCCTTCTTTCCACACTCTTCTTACTGAAGCAGAATAAGAATGGTACAATCTCATTAGGTTTTTAAAAGTACCAGTGTATGCCATTTTTATATACAACTAAGAAAACCAAGTAAAGAAAATTATCATGCACACATCCTTCACCACAAAGAAAAAGTGTATTTAGCAACTGAAGGCACTACTATGAACAGGATCCACTTAGGTCAACAGTGGGAAGGAATCACCCAGGAAAAACATTTTAGCATTAAGTGTGCAATTAATATTTACATGAACCTAAGAATTCAACAGGAGCTTATTTTGCATTTATTTCATGTTCATGTTAATATGTTCCTACTACTACTAATTTTTATTGATATTTTTACATAAAAGAGGTAGATTATCTATGGAATAACTGTCCTCAGACTATCTTTGGTCCTTTTATTCAAAGGCTTATTAAAACAGACTTTTATACCTCATCCCAAAGTTTCCGATCTAATAGCACCAGGTAGGGCATAAATTTCTGTTTATTTTATAAGTACCAGATGGTACTGATATTGCTGATATGAGACCACCTTTAAGAACCAATTATTGCAAAGGTATATAGTAAGACACCTGCAAATCAGACTTCAATGGGAAACAATGTGATCATTATCTTAATTCAACTTTTTATTAACATCTGACATCTGGCATAGTTATATGTCAAAAGGATGGTGACATGCTAAATGCATAGAAAGGAATATTCTTTTTAACCACACCAACAATATGGAATGCATGATGCATGACATCCAGGGTTAGATCAAATTTTTTTCCTTTTGGATATATATATCTGATTAATGAGTCACTTTATAAAAGTTCACTTTTCAAAGAAAAAACTGTAGCAAATGCCTTCAATATTCACTAAGCAGACAAGAGGATCAAAAGTAGCTCAGAACAGTGCATATGAAAGAGAACTGCTTGAATCTAAGGAGCCTGTGGTAGAATTGGCACAGAAGAAAGAGAAAAGTAATTCAAGTCAGAGAAAATGATAACTGTACAAATACAGAGACAAAAAAAAAATAAGCAGGGCTCCCCCTGGTGGCACAATTAGCGGCATTATGAAACTTCCAAAACCACTGCAGCGGTGAATTCCATCCCCTGCCAGGGAGCTGACCTACTTGGCATGGCAGACCTCTCCTGACCCACCCACTATTCCCCTTAGCTGTGTATTTCAATAGATCTCCCTGTCCTGCTACCCACTCTGTCTCTGGTGAATCCTCTCACCCACCACACCTCTGGCCTTTACCCCAATTCTGTAAGCATAAATAAATCTTTTTTGTAAAAAAAGGAATAAGCATGTTTCTCTGATTGGAGTAGAGAATATTCTTAGTAGTAGCTAAAAAAAAAAAAGAAAATTTAGAATTGGTATTTTAATTTGCTTTCTCTATTTATATTTACTTTCTAAAGGGATATGTTATACTCAACTTGACTCAACCTGAGAGTAGCTGTTGAACAGTGACTGAACTCTGGGTAATAGACACTCAGAAAATGCTCAAGATGAACTTAGGGAGAAATTTAGTATGCCAGAAAGAGTTCAGCTATCATTTACATGTAGTATAATCAGAAACTAAACTAAAATTAAAGCAGGAGTAGACCAAAAAAACCCCAAAAGCCTTGCAGAAGAAATCAATAGGATTTAATCCTGGGTTAAAGGTGATCAGTAAGTCCTAGTAACAGCAAATCTCTGATTTTTAGACATTCCTTGGATCCAGATACACATTCACATAACTTAAGTTTAAAAACAGGGTCCTCCCTGGTGGCTCAATGGGTTAGGATGCAACACTGAAAGCAAGCCCTAGCCACTTGGTGTGAGTTTGATCCCCGCCTTGGAGATGATCCACATGGTGAGGCAAACCTCTCCTGACCTGCGAGCTTCTCCCCTCAGCAGTGTACTTTGTCGATCTGCCTGTTCTGCTCCCCATTCTGTCTCTGGTGAATCCTTTCACTGCCCCTGGACCTCAGGCCTCTACCCAAGTTCTGTATGAAAACAATGAAGTTCAAAAAAAAAAAAAACTACCAAAACTTTTCTTTCCAGTTAGAGTTCTAGGTGTAGTCTTATCAGGTGTAAATAAAACATTCTTGTTGACTATTCCATCAAGAAAATGCTTAGGGCCCTCCCTGGCTCCCTGGTGGTGAACGGGTTAGGACGCAGCACTGCAAGCTAGCAGCAGACACTTCCATGTGAGTTCAATCCCTGGCCCTGGAGAAGATCCACACAGTGTGGCAGACCTTTCCTGTCTCACCTGCTGCTCCCCTCAGCAGTGTACTTCATTGATCTGCCTGTTCTGCTCCCTACTCTGTCTCTGTTAAGTCCTCTCACCATCCCTGTACCTCTGGCCTGTACCCCAGTTCTACATGCATAAATAAATATTAAAAAAAAAAAAAAGAAAATGCTTAACATTAAAAACAGAGTACTATGCTTTCGCTTAGATATTAACTTTCAACTTCCTTCTGTCCTGCAATAGGAAGTTAGAAATTTAAGTTGGAAGCAACAGTAACGAGTACTAAGGAATACAACAGACCTTAACAATATCAGAAAAGCATCTTACTTGATTTAAGGTATAAAGCTAGGATCTTGCAGCAAACACTGGGCTACAACTACTAAAACTAAAATCAATTTTGTCAAGGATCCTCAGTTTCAAACTCAAATAGCACTTATTATGTTCCTACTATGTGCTATAACTTAGAAGTATTTAAAGATTTGGCAAGAAAAATGTAAGGACCATTCATTCATTGTCATCTGTACCCCCAATCCTTTTCTTCTGTCTAACACTGTCATAGAAGTAGACTTCTGTCTTCTAATACTCACCTTCCAGGAAATATTCTTTTCTACATTGTAACCAAGTATTTTATTTGTAAATTCATTCCCTGGACATATGACCCAATTAGGATTATTGCATTCCCTGCCTATGTTTGGAATGGGCACATGATCAAACTTGACTATATTTTGTTTCCAGAATATTATCAATGGCAGTTTAAAGAAACAGACTATCTCAGCATATCAGGGAAACCTGGGAATGGGCAGTATTATATGAAGAAAGCTGGTATGAAAAAAAGGAAGCCACCATGTAGAAAAGCATAAACAGGAGCTATGTTTTGATTACACTTGGTATTTGAGAACTAGATATACCCCTGTCCTAACTAAAGTTACATCTGCCTTATACTAAGTTTTTCATTTTGCCTAAGCTAGTTCAAGATGCACTTATTATTTACAGCAAAATATAAACAGTAATGACGTCTGCAAATGTTATTTCCCTCAAAAAAAAAAGGACAAAATTTGAGTAAAACTCATTGGACAAAAAAAACACACAAAACACTGTTACAAGAGGGCCTATATGTCTCCAGTTCCATATATCTCTTTATTATTATTTTTCAAAGTTTGTGCTCTATCAGGCAATATAGGACTTCCATCAACTTATAGCATCACAATAAAGTGGCATAGTGGTTTATTCCCAGTCATAGCACTGTTAAGTTAAAGAAATAGGGAGAGCAAAGAGAAAATTATGGATCAAGTACAGTGGATCTTTAATTTTGAGGTTACATATTAAGAATTTTATGAAAGTCTTTCATAAAAGTTATTGAGTGATAATCAAATGCCAGACAATGTGCTCAATATTTTACACAGCTTATTCTAGTAATAACATTATAAAATTTGGTGACATTAATTATCTAAAGACACACACCCAATAAGTAGTGTGGCTACTTCGAATAACTTGAAAGTATGACTCACTGGTTTACACTACCCTTACACACATATGCATGCACCCTGTTTCTTTAAAACCTCCACAACAAGATTAAGTGTGCATCACCCTGATGGAGTGTGAAATAAGATGTGCTGGGTTGATAGACAATCACAAATAAGGAAAATGGACGTAGCAGAATATAAGTAAAAACAGAGGCAGATAATACTCCCATAAAGCTTTAAGAAATAAGCTAAGCACTATAATGTAAAATGGGATGTGTCTGCATAAGTTAAAGGATAAGCTAGTTAGAGGTAGAAAGAACAGATTAAGGAGACAAACCGAATATCTGAAATTACAACTGTTAACTTTAAAACAATAGGGCACAGTTACCAAATACCAATCATAGTATAAGCTGGGAATTTATTACATCTTCTGGCCACAGAGAACATGGTTCTTTCTCACAACAGGGTAATGTCATTTACACTGAGTCAAAGCAAATGTTGGTTGTTCAAGGTAAAGTTATTTAGTACATGAAAGCAGTATTCTTATAACACCTACTTGAAACAAATATCATTTACCAGTAATGCTTACGAAAAGGAGAAGAAAAGAGACAGATTTTAACCAAAGAGGCCTAAGGGACCACATTCGGATTGAACTAGAGAGACAGTTCCTAAGGTAACCGACCTCATGGGGTTGGGTTTTAAATATAAGATAAATTAAGAAGGAATGGTGGCAGCGAATTCTCCATAATCCCAGTACTGGGGTTTCATTATTAAAATTTATAAAATTCATGCTGTGCATTCAGGAAAAAAAATGAAATCTTCACATTTTAATTTTTACTCTTTAGTTCTGGAATATGTCTTGCATTTTAAAGTGAATATTAAGGACTTGTGTTATAAAGCAATTTTGCAAAAATACAGATAATCACATAATGATATAGCTGATATATATCACTCTTCTCCCAAATGGACTGCAATTTGTAACATTTAAGAGTATATTTGAGAAAGAGTCAATCCTGTAAATAAATTCTAACTTGTATATTTAATTCTACTTTAATTTACACACACACACTTACGTTATTCTTCATTTAGTATATTTTTTTCATCTCAGTTGTAATCCCCGTGGACTTCCCACCACCAATTCACAACAGTCCCATGCGTTCTTCTGCCTCAATTTTGATCCTACTCCCCACTTCCACCTCTGAAAAATGTCTCTGGGTTTATATTTGTTTGTTGACTTTTGCTTTTACCTTATGCAATTGCTTCTCCCCCTACTGCCCCTGTCCCTTACACTCCTGCTATGAGTGAAACCATTCAGTATTTTTAACTTTGAACATCAAACTTTTAACAAAATTCCTATATTGAAAATGTAACAATACATATCAAAGCTTCTTTAATGAGAAGTCAATTTTTACTTCATTTTTTGAAATTTTGAAGTTAATGAACTTAAAACCACAGTCTATGCTGTTATTGATAATTCCTGAATGAATTAACTATCAAAATTCTACCACAATTACATTAAAAAATATTTCAGGCCAGCAGAGTGCCAGGTGAAAATCACCTTTACCTATTCCTGAAATAGCTGTTTAAGTTCTATAAAAGCAAATTAATAATCAATAGGATAAAATTTGTTTATTCTTTTAAGAAAAGGAAAAGCCAATTTGCTTCAATTCATATATAGAGTTTATAACTATAGGAAATTGAATATACTGGCCCTGGACTAAGTGCAATTGTAGGTCACATGCTGTTCATGTGCTACTTAAACTTAAGCCTTGTTTGGGATCAGCATTAACAGTACAAGTTTAAAACATCTGCTTGTCTGGTTAAAAAAATGAATGAATGGGGCCCTCCCTGGTGGCGCAGTGGGTTAAAGCACTGCACTGGGAGGTTGAGGCCACTTCCGCATGAGTTCGAACCCCACCTGCCCCGGAGGAGATCCACATGGTGTGGCGGACGTCTCCTGACCCACCCGCTGCTCCCCTCAGCAGTGTACTTTGTTGATCTGCCTGTTCTGCTCCCCACTCTGTCTCTGGTGAATCCTCTCACCCTCTGCATCTCTGGCCTGTACCCTAGTTCTGTATAAATAAATAAATAAATAAATCTTTAAAAAAAAAATTGAATTAGTGGTTCCCTCGTCTTTTCTTCCTCTAAATATTCTGCAAATAATCGGTTTTTAGTTTCCTAAGGTAGAGTCAACTGAAAACTAATTTTTGGAGTGCTATAAGGAGACAGAAGAGAGAAATAAAAAAAGACAATGATATGTTCTAAGCACATATGCTAATAAAGCACGTTAGTAATTATAGACGAATTAAATGTATAGCCCATTTTCCATTAATAACCATTCCACCTCAAAGCTTACCTTAACCTGTATTTTATCTATTCTTATAATTAGTACCTAAGTAATACAGAATGTGGTAAGATGGAAAACATTATAGAGGTTTCCTTTAACTTTAACCCCATGGATAGGATATTCAAAAGAAGGATATAGATCTAAAGCATAGAAATGTTTATGAATAATTTAAAATAGTTGCCTTTAAACTTCATGAATAGATGAAGTGACTGTGATCAACTGTGTTCACCTACATTCTGAATCATCCAAACAAATTATTCCTGTCTTTCCAGCTTCTTCTAAAGAATAGTTTTGACTTCAGGTTCTACATCTGCTTTAGCCAATTCTTGAAATGCTCCAATAAGTATACATCACTGCCACTAGGAACAAATCTGTTCTCTGGCTTATAAAAATACAATGTGAAATTGTTTAGGCATCATGGATTAATCCAGTTGGAATCATTAAATGATCTAAAGTGGTACTGACCACCTGATGAGATCAGACTAAATATTAATATTACTTCTCTTTCAGTTCTCTAACCATATACTTTAAAATGTCCCAAATTAAATTCCAAAACATAGATTAATTAGTCTTTATTAATATAGAAGTGTAAGAATTTATTTTTCCTTGACTTATGTTCTCCAAGTATGTAGGCTAGTACTACTGTTCTTTTTGTCATGAAGTACAACATATCATATACATAATGCATTTTAATTAGAATATAGCAGATTTATAACTTATCCATTCATTAAAAACTTTTAAGTGACCACTCTTGCTAGGTACCATGAAATGTACTGGTGAATAAAAGGAGATATGGCCCCTCCTTTCATGGAATTAAAGGAGAAAAAGAAAATAAATAAATACCTAACTACAAACTGTTAAGTTATAAAGAAATCAATAAATGGCATATAATCATTAAAAAGGCAAGTTAGGGGACAGAACAGGTTATCCCAGACTTAAGATATAATTAACTTCAGATTACCACACACTAGAGTAGGAATGAGGCAAAGAGTGGAAACAGACAGAAACTAGTGTGTATAAGAACAAAAAGTAGCTGGTGTGGTTAAAGAATAACATAACAGGATTAGTCTAATGCATGCCTAAAGAACCATACCATGCAACTGGCCTTGACACCAAGGTCAAAGAGCCTGAATTTTCCTGTGGCTTAACAAAAGTCACTATAAATTTTGATTAAGGGGTTAACATAGAAACTTATGGAAATTTAGAGAATCCTGAGATATCCATTAAAATTGGATATAGGAAGTAGGACAATATGATAAAAGTAAACTAAAAAATACTAAGCATAGTTATCATGGGAATAATTAGGTTAGATCATCTAGTTTAGTAATTTTCAAATGAAGTAGATTTGAGCCCCATACTCTGAGATTCTGATTCAGTACGCTTAAGGGAAACATAGGAATCCATGCATTTAGTAAGTCAGAGTAGAGTGTTTGTGAAACAGTTGACCCTGAGGCTTAAAGACAGAAAAGCAAAGTCCAGAACCAAAAATTGTGTAATTAATTTAAATCCTGGAAAAAAAGGACAAGTCTGCTAAGGACAACAAATAGGAAGAGATAGGAAAAACTGGACAGCAGGGTATACTCCCAAATTTAAGGAAAAAAAGGAAGTGGTAGGTTCTGTTGAATACTGTTGAGAATAAAGTGGAGAGAAAAAAGTGAACCAAGGTATGTATAGAAAAAAGGACATCACTGGTTATCTTGACAATCTGAAGTAAATGTGAAATGAGGAAGATGATAATTAAGTTTGACTCTGAAAGGAACAAGTGAGAGGTATAATAACTAGGAGGTTATAAGGGAGAAGGTATGTAAAAAGAAATTCAGGATCCTTTGATAGCCCATTTTTGACCAGACATTGGTGACTATTTGAACTGTTATAGTAATTACTGAATTCTATTTCACATAATTTTTTTAAAGTCTTTCATTTCAAACTTTAAATATCCAACATATAACCATACAGACATTTTCTAGTCTGAAACACCAATTTCCTCAAATAATATATATAGGTAGAGTATCAAATTATCAAGTGTTTTCTCTCTCCACAAAAACTGTTACTACTGATTCAATCTCTAGCTCTTATTTACCCTTGCAAGATCCTCTATTTCAGAACTGAAGTTTGTTTCTCCTTCCATCATTTCTTCCTCTTCTAATGTTCGTTCATCATCAAAATCATGAACCAGCATGTCAGCTGATGGATCAAATTCATGGTCATCTGATGTCGCTGAACCCCCTGCAAAGAATATTTAAAAAACGAAGTTTGGTGAGCCAAATTAATTATATCTTATTAATGTTATTTGAAGTATTATGTTAAATGTTATTTGAAATGTTATTTGTGCAAATACATTTATGATTTTGTAAAAAGTGTGCCCTTATTCATAAGCCCCCCATAAAACTCTTCTAAGGGATTACTTTTGCTGCCTTCTCTCAATCTCTGCATGTTCAGTTACAGCTATTAAAACAAGTGAGGTATGGGGGATAGGGGAAAAAAATGGTACATTCATAGCTTTAGAAAGGTGTAGAAAACTGTTGTGATCTTCTAAAAATGAAACCTGAGTTGTAAAGAATAATCATATTAAGAGTGCTATTTTGCGTGGGAAAAAATAACACTTTTCAAATATCTAAATGACATTTAATAAACCTAATAAATATGAACCGCACCACCATGGCCTCTGAGAGTATATAGTGATGTGAAATATATAGTCATCTAAATACATAGTTTTATGAAAATACAACTGCACTCAAATATTAACTCTTTTGTCAGCACTTCCATGAAAATATATTCTTATACTTGGGTAGTCCTTGTTAACTTACTTGATTTTGATACGAAGTAACTCAGAGTATATAAGCAAAACTTAAACTGCATACAGAACACTCATGAAAAATGATCTAATAGGTAACTGAGGTATAAACATCCATTTTTAGCCTGGTAAATTAGGGAATACGGCTGTCGAGTGATAGGTTCAAACTTAAGTAGACAGCAAATGCTCGGTTTCTATGGTCTATAAACTATCTCCACGTTTGGATATCAACACACCAAATCCTAAATTTGCAAATGTACTAATGAACAAATGAATTATTTAATGTAAAAAAAATTAATCAGCTTAAAATGTTAAAGGTTACATTAATCGAAGAATCTATCTTTCCATTTCACACCACGAAAGATAATGAGAACACAGATATGAGATTGATTTGCTTTAAAACCACATCACTAGGGTGATGGTAGGTGTGGTGTAACATTCATCTGAAAAGGTATCAATCTATTCCCCTAAGTCATACACCATGCTGAAAGTCAGTGTTATTTCAATTAAAAAAAAAATAATGGAATAAAGTAAAACCATGCTATTAGAGGGCACCAAAAGCTTAGGATTCTTGCTACCTCCCTCAATTTGCAACATTAAAAATGACTGAGTATGTGCCAGAAACGATGCCTAAACAATTCACATACATTATCTCATTTAATTTTCAAGTAATTCTACAAAGAACAAAAAATTGAGGCTCAGAGATTTGAAGTAGCATGTTTAAACTCATAGAGCCAATAATGGCAAAAATGAAACCTGAAACCAGGGTCTTCTAATTCCAACATCTGTGCTTTAATATCCTCCAAGCCTCACTTTAAGCTAGTCTCAGATACAGTAGGCATTCTGCCTCAAAGAATACTAAAGATAACCTATGTTTACTAAAATGAGCAAATTGCAAACAACATTAGGAATCAAAGGGCTTACTAGTCATTACGCTCTTTGAGGAACATAACAAAATACTGATATTAAATAAAACTACTCCATATAAATGCTAAATTAGGCATCATACTAGAGTACAAATAACTTTTCAAAATTCTAGAATAATTTATAAAATCAAAACATCAGCAAAATATATTAATTTCTTCTGGAAATTAAGGAAAGCAAGCAATAATTTTAGTAGGACATTTTAGTACTTAGGGATTAGCCACAAAAGTTCCATTAAGAATGCAATTTGAGGGCCCTCCCTGGTGGCGCAGCGGGTTAAAGCACAACACTGAAAAGCTAAAGCTGCTTCCGCATGAGTTGATTCCCGCCTGCCCTGGAGGTGACCACATGGCGTGGCAGACCTCTCCTGACCCGCCCGCTGCTCCCCTCGGCAGTGTAATTCTTCCATCTGCCTGTTCTGCTCCCCACTCTGTCTCTGGTGAAGCCTCTCACCGCCCCTGTGCCTCTGGCCTGTACCCCAGTTCTGTATGCACAAA